GTCGTGCCTCGATAGTTACGATTTTATCACAAGTCGCATCTTATCATGAATCGTTCTACGTCAGGCATGGCCAACTATCGCGTACGGTCCTGACCAGGAGCACAGGTGGGGATGCGTCAAGTAGTAAGAGCGAATTATGATTCGCCGAGCTACTGTGAGGTGGGGATATTAGAGGAGGGAGAAACGAGTCGACCATGCCTGGCTCACATCGCTTGGGGCCTTCTCTAAATAACATTTCTATTTAGATTCTCTTTTTAAACTATACAACGAAACACGTCCATCCGACTAGTCTAATCGTTAAAAAGTCATCAATTTTTTTTTAATCAAGTATTCGTAAACATTTATAAGTCCAGTTGATTCGACGTAAATGTTTTGTTTTCTTTTTGTAGTTTTTAATCAGCTAGTAATTTAAATGAGAGGCAGAATTTGCACGGTGGCTGAATTCTCGAAGAAACCGCTCGACTCTAATCGAACGGAGGTCACTTCGTACTCCACCAGTTCGCGGAAATCTGTAAAACAATTTTAATTAAGAGGATTCAATTGAGATCAGTAATTAATTTTCGGGTTTCAGTCGATATCGCAAGTATTGCATTACCTGGCTTCGAATCTATTCCGCAAATAGAGTCGACTATTTGAAGTTTCGACGTGTCCAGCCCGTAACTGCCACCAATTATCAGTTGATCGCGTGGGCTTGTCTCATCGCACTGGAAATTATTTAAATGAAACAATTAATTATATCAAATCATGTATTCTAATACAGATATTAGAGAAATGAAGCAGAAAGCAACTGTGATTCAACGAGGGTGTAGGAAGAACGAAAAATAACTGTATGCTAAGGAATGAATACAACAGAACTGGAATAACAGAATACAATGGCAGAGTAAAGAGACGTAATAGAATGGTAGCAGAGTTGGGAAGAAAAATAAAGGAAGTGCAATAAAGTACAAAGGACATGAAAGAAAAATACGTATATATGTAGAAGAACAAAGTATGGAAGAACAAAGTATGGAAGAAGAGAAGATAAAACCTGAGACAATATGTATGTAGGATACGAGAAGTTACAGTAGGGTAGAGTAAAAAGTTCAGTCTAGTGAAATAAAATACCAGAAAGACTAAGTCACTTAAAAGATCCTAGAACAGATCGTCCTAGAAAAGATCCTAGAGATCGAGAAACAGTTTCTCGCTAGCATCAATAGTTAACGAGTAATTTGCAAAAAACTGTTTTTCGTTTTTTGCAAATAACTCGTTAACTATTGGCACTAGCGAATTCTTTTTGCACACAAGTTGTAGATCTCGGCGTCCCCTACAAAATGGTTCTAAATACGCCCCCCTACGTCCATCCGTTCGGGAGTTATTGAGGAAAAACGAAAAGTCTTTTTAAAAGTTCACAGATTCGACGAGCGAATTCGCCTTCAGATTCTGCAATTCGCCCGTCCAATCTGTGAACTTTTAAAAAGACTTTTCGTTTTTCCTCAATAACTCCCGAACGGATGGACGTAGGGGGGCGTATTTAGAACCATTTTGTAGGGGACG